TACATGTATAGAATTGCAAAATCACAAACCACGCCTAAGAAATTATTATCGTAATTCACCATTTAATCACATAGATTGCCATTCGTTGTGTATTTTGTGACATTCCTGTGATTATTTGATGTAGTATCAAGCATTAGTACAAATGGAACCAGCTATTCTATTGTTTATCTCAGTGGAATTAACGTCTTCAATATCTGAATAAAAGCTGAAGGGGTGTTTAACCTTATTAATTCATTCACTCACACACTGACGGGACATAAGGGGATCACCTGGTTCTCTGTTCTTATGATAGAGGTCAGAATCTATGATGTAAACGGAATAGTGACACAAGTGATTTGATTCCCATACAACGGTAGAGAGAGACGCAGAGAGAGAGAGAGAGAGAGAGAGAGAGAGAGAGAGAGAGAGAGAGAGAGAGAGAGAGAGAGAGAGAGAGAGAGAGAGAGAGAGAGAGAGAGAGAGAGAGAGAGAGAGAGAGAGAGAGAGAGAGAGAGAGAGAGAGAGAGTAGCTTCTTCATATTCCAGAGAGGTAGAGAGAGAGAGAGAGAGAGGAGAGAGAGAGAGAGAGAGAGAGAGAGAGAAGAGAGAGAGAGAGGGAGAGTAGCTTCTTTCATATTCTCAGTTGGTTTACTTGAAGCTATGGCGGTTCAAGATGCACGCATCTAGGAACTATTCCAGTATTCCCTTAAACCGCCCATCGTTGTTTCATGTGCTCAGTCAAATCATAACTATTGGCGCTCTCTTCAAGATCGGTCGCTTGGCCGAAGTCCAATGGTCAGAGCTACCATCTCGATGCCAAGTACCAATTGCAATATATTCGAACCCCCATACACAATGAATTAAAATTGGAAACATTGCTACAACATGCATGTTAATTCAACCAAATTAAGAAGGATCAATAAGTGGTTTTCTTTAAAAATCCAATTTGGTAATCACAGATTATCAACAACGGAATGGACAGTTTGAAGGAAAGGTCAAACCTTCTTGAATAAGACATAATGAATATAACCCAAAATACCATTTATGAAAACAAGTTTGAAGAATAAAATTATTCCTTTAAAACTTTCGAAAATAGACTATAAGATCGATTAAAATATCTCTATATACAAGGAAATTATATGTTTATCGACTCTGCTTACATGTATACTGAATGAGGTAAAGTTTTGTAAAAAAATAAAATGTAATATGAAGTTTATTTTGTAAGAAACATTGCGATATCTTAGTTTTTGTAAATAAAGTCAATTTTGCCAAATTTGTGACAAAAATGGATTTCGAACCTAAAAGTGGGTTTTTTCATATTGCGTTAATTTTTACATATTACGTTAAAAATTGGTTTTACATTTTGCATTAGGTGTCCGTTAATATTTGACATATTGCGTTATTTTTTACGTTTTGCGTTAAGTTGTTACATATTGTCTTGATATTACATATTGGGGTTGTACATCCCTCTCCTACAAGTTGAACTGTAAGAAATATAACAACCATTATGTGTATGACACTAGGCCTCGTGTTGTTTGAAGAGACCCGCAAGTGTTACAGGATATAATGTAGAGACAAAGTGCTCACAGAGAAACAGCAGCAATGGTCTCTGTCAGATTGTAGAAGAAGTTCGTTCAGTCCTAGTTAGGGGAGTCGGCTTTGTGTAATGTCTATATTCACAAACGTAGTTGGGCTGGATTTTCGCCGAAGACACAGCTGTGGTCGTGCTGCCACACAACGGGATACCAACAGCCCCCGTTACCTCAGAACAGTGGTCTAAAGGGGATCGGGTGAGCGGGGTCTGGGACCGATGACGTGGTTGGTTGGTTGGTTGTTTAACGCCGCACTCAGCAATATTCCAGCTGTATGGTGGCGGTCTGTAACTAATCTAGTCTGGACCAGACAATCAACAGCATGAGCATCGTTCTACGCAACTGGGATACAATGACATGTGTCAACCCAGTCGGCGAACCTGACCACCCGATCCCGTTAGTCGCCTCTTACGACAAGCATGGGTTACTGAAGACCAATTCTAACCCGGATCTAAACACGGTAACCGATATGACATGTTATATCGATGTCTTTGGAACTGCTTTACATTGTCAGTGCAGTATTTCATTATCTACATGCCGGAATATGATCGCAATGTTGGTGCCTACAGACATTCAACTCAACCTACAAATCCGACCAGGAATGGTCCAGTGGTTAAGGCCATAACTCGTCACCCACACGGATGGGTTGTCCTCCACAATACGTGAAACTCAATCTTGGTGTAAACAGGCGTCCCTGTACGTCTGTAATGTCACGTGTGTCCCCTGCATTCTGGGTCGATTCCCCACATGGGCACAATGTGTTAAGCCCATTTCTGGTGTCCCCCGCCGTGATATTGCTGGAATATTGCTAAAAGCGGCGTAAAACTAAACTCAGTCAGTGCATTCTGGTAGGCTACAGGTGGCGTCATGTTACATCTGTCTCAGAGCAGAAGCCACAGCGTAACGGACATTGTCCGACCGAGGTGCTGATCCAAATCGCCCCATAAGCTTGTCTAATACGAGGGATTATTTACTTGTTGTCCTTGACGACGAGCCCCAGTATATTTATGAGTTGTAGAGTTACAGAATAACATATTTAATATTACTGTATTTATATAATGGCGTGCATTATCCTAATCCTCACTCAGCCTGGGGCATGGTGATATCGCTGTATTCTTGTTGCACTCATAATGCTTTAATTTTAGCGTGTCACTAGTTCCGATTAATGCCGCGGTTTGACATGAATACCGCTCTCAGTGTATAGACTCCGAGTCATTTGTCGCGGGGGCAAGCGGACGGGGAGAGAAGGCTTGATCTTCTAGGGCATGCAGACGTTCCATCAAGGAAACCACGACAGAGTTCAATAATGTTTTAACAAAACAGATGTAATCTGCGAAGAACAGTTTAAATAACTGTCACAAGACTTATCAAATTAATCATAGCTGGTTTAATTGTTGAGGTTTCCCACTTGAAACTTAAACGAAATTTCTACCGTCCTAAACTGTAAAACAATCGTAGAATTCAAAACCAACTTGTCTGACAAGGAGCAGCCTGGCAGTATTTTAACAACAGTGCGTAACGGCTGAATATAGTCTTACTTATCTTACGCATTCAATAATATTCAAGGAGTACCATGCAAGTCTTTCAATGTTCTAGTCTGAGGAAGGTAAACCAACCTGGTGGTTGATAGTATGAGCAAAGGGTCATGTGATCAGGTCACAATGACAGCAAACATCACCGAGTCTGACAACTGTCTCTTAGCTGACACTGCAGCATCAGAGGCATTGTCCGACCTACTGATCCAAATCGGTTTCCTAAAAAAGTCATAAGGGTAAACACATTCCAAAAATCAGCTTCCGTGATTAAAAGTGAACAAAGGGTTTATAAAATCGCAATAAACACATAAAAAACGTACTCGTATTTCCGCCTGTTACCAAAACACCCGACAGTTAATGAGCAGAGGCGGATGTCAGGCGACATGACGTCACGTGTGTCTAAATATTGCTTCCTCTTTGATTTACCTCATAACTTGACAGTAACCATGGATTCTGAAGCAGTAAAAGATGCGCCTGATGTCATTTGTGACATGGATGTCAGACTGTATCAATACGAGGTAAGGTGAGGTGAGGTAAGGTGAGGTGAAATGGGGTTTAACGTCGCACTTAAGAATATTTCGCTCATATGACGACATGCATGTGTGTGTATGTGTGTCTGCTTGTACTAGCCCAGACTTAAGCTTGTTTTATAGTGTTAGCTCACTGACATACCATGCTGCAGTTGAGCATAAAACAATACCCGACTCAGACACGTTATACTGACTCCGAGCCGACAAGTCCTTGCTGTACCCATTAATGCCGAGCGCCAGGCAGGGACCAACAAGAACCATATTTTAACGTCTTTTGGTAAGACGCAGCCGGGGATCAAACCCGGGACCTTCCGCTCTGAGGGCTGACGCTGTAACCACTACACCACAGAGGCGGTCGCATCAATACGAGCTAATGCTCGTATTTTCAACACGGGTTATTTTCAACACGGACTGCTCCATTCTCAAATTCACCTGCCAGACGGTCGGGTTAAAATTTAGACATGTATTTGAAGATGTTCATCATATTTCAGGATAATAAATCATTATTAATTCACTCGTAAAAATAAACGATGAATTCCAATTGGATGATAAAATACGTCCATGGTCAAACCTAAATTATTTGCGGGCAGGTAAGTTTGGGTCGGGGCTTGCAAGTTTTACATCTAACCAGCCCTGTGGTCTGACTGAAATTTTGGGAGTTTTATACCCGGATGCGAATTAAGCTTATTTTTATTTTAGAAACTTTCCGCACATTACACCTAAAGACAAGTCTGTGAAAAACGAAATCACCAGCTGCATACCAATGTAGTTACAAAACTGAATAAAATAAACAATATTTCAATGTTGTGGGCATATACAGAAAGTAAATGGATATACCATCCACAGACAACTTCTTTGAGAGGCATTTAGAACTTGGATCAATAAGGAAGGATTACCATCTGAATGAACAACTTCTATATTATAGGGAGAGCGACGTTTCCGTGTAGGTTCTAACATCCTTATCAAGCAAGTGATGAACAGAACGAGCATCGGAGACGCATATACTGACTGACTGACTGAGTTTGGTTTTACGCCGCTTTTAGCAATAATCCAGCAACATCACGGCGGGGGACACCAGAAATGGGCTTCACACATTGTACCCATGTGGGGATTCGAAACCGGGTCTTCGGCGTGACGAGCCAACGCTTTAACCATTAGGCTACCCCACCGCCCCGGAGACGCATATACATGTATACAACCGTGAGGAGATGTTTGTACAGTACAACAGGGGAGTAGAACTGCAATGACAATGGCAACACTGTAATAAAGAAGTTGTTCATCCATATATGGTCATCCTTCCCCGTCCATAGACACATTGCCTATTTGCTTATAAATTCTTCTAAGTAATTAATGGAGGCAACGAGGCAGTTGTTAGCATATTTTATTTCCCGACTCCTCAAAGATACCATGACGATATCCTCTTCATAGGACACCATCAACTGTGTATATTTAAGTAGTTCATACTCATGTTAGATAGACCTAGCGATGGGGAATATATGTAACAAATCATGTTAGTAGAAACCATTCATGATGTTATGACATTCAAGCTCAATCCATTAACAGGAATAGAAATGCATTTTTTCGAATGGTACCATCGGACACCAGACAGACAATATAGGAGAGCCTATGTGAAAATAGGCGTGCCCATACCTTTTGGTGATCAAATTAAACTTAAAACATCACAGCAATTGTGGTATTTCATTATTGTTTAATGAAAAGACAAAATCATATAAATGGGCATTCAAAATGGCCGCGTCCATGTTAAGCTGTGAGATTGGAGTGCCACCGGTATACGGTTGAATGGGGTGCAAAAACATGGGTTAGAACCATTTGAGTTGGTCCATACAATGATTCAGGGTGTGCATATATTTGTAATTTTAGTCGTGGCGCCAGGATATATTGAAAATGTTTCATGCTAGTCCTTTCAATATCAGCCGTGCCGTGGGATAGCACGGAAACTAAACACCATATCGATCCCTGCATTAAATTAATTAATTGACAATTTTATAGGTTTTTTCGAATGTGATGGTGGACAATGTGATGGAAAGTCTGAAACTAAATTATTATTATTATTATTATTATTCTATGATATTTATATAGCGCACATATCCAGGCAACTAGTGCTTGCTCAAGGCGCTGAATATTAAATATACCCAATTGAACGGTGTTTTTGTTTTTGGGTTTTCACAAAATTATCTTTAAAATTTGGATCAGTAGGTGATTGAAAAATTACATACAAATCTTGACCAACTTTGCGTCCTTAAAAATACTATAAATCTAAAATCTGATTGGTAATATGTATTCGTCATATTAAAGAACCTTTCACGGTACATGCATTTAATGCCCAATGATCTTTTTTCAGATTGACGAATTCGTAATCCAAGCAAGAAAATAGTTGTTCCTTCTGCAAACATAAGCAATTAGTCCACAGAGTAAGCAACTTTGGGCGTCTCTCCTCGTGACTCCAGCTCACTGACGTAGTCAAAGGGATTCACGATCTGCGATAAAGAAATGACAACAAAAATATTAACACTGTGAAAATGGAAATTCGGTACATGGAAAATGTGTTTTAAAAACCTCAAACTAAAATTAAGAGTAACTTGATTACGTGCATTGTTCAAAGAATAAATTCTTAATTCAATAAGATTCAAGTTTTGGTGGAGGCATTGAGGCATATCACCTACCAGATTATCAAGAAAGGTGAAACTGTCTTTGAATCTCGAAGTTGCCAAGAACGTAGCCAGTTCGCCATCTATTTGTCTTGTTTCGCCGGTCTGAAGAAAAATGAAATCAATCGTCAGCCCCAAAATTACTTATATCTTTGAATCGAACTTAAGACTCTATGACATGGTAAATCGACAGAAACGCCAAGTGGGCCAAAAGGTGACAAAAGTTGTCTCCCTTGAGTCAAACAAATCGCGCCTGCGACTGTCATGGAAGATTTCTTTGCATTGGCTAAACCGTTAAATACTTTTCTTCTCAGTTTTGGACTAGGATTCTTCCAATCGGAGAGAAAAATCATACTCCATGGCCAACCATATTTTAGTAAAACAATTAAAGCGTATATCGGAAAAGATTTTGCAACATAAAATCCCAACGGTCGTTACTGAGTTCTAAAAAGCTTACGATCTTTCAACGTAATAAATCCGCCTTTTTAAACATTCATGATAGACCTGGCTTTCCTTGTACGTGATTCGACCGCATAAAACAATACCTCTTTTTTATTCGCCTATAAACCCCCATAATTCGCAAGACCCTAAAGTTTAAAAACATATTAAGCTAAATTCAGCTTTGGTTCCGAATTTTAGAATTTAATTGGAATTAAGAAACTTCAGTGCAAATCCAATGATTGGATGATATCGGGTAATATTTATATGTTAAAACTGTACGTCCACCCAGTAATTAAAACTGACCACAATTTTAATTATTTAGTACTGTCTGTTTTATCACTATGATGTATGATAAATGTGTGCACAGAGATTTTCAAGTACTTGACATTTTGTGCGGAACTGGGTTTGGTGTGTTCAGCTTCTCCTCGGAAAAGGAACAGGTTAAGCTAGCCAAAAATGTGTGTTTACATTGCAGCTTTAAGTTCACATGGTGTATATGTGTATAGTCTGTTTGCTGTGAAAATGTACCGATGAATTTCACTTTAAACAAAAACGTAAATCGAATAAAGTGAAATTAAGATTGCTAATCCTCATGATTTTACCTTGCCAATTGGACATTTAAATCTAAGAATTGTATTCAACTTAGGATAAAAGTTGTTTAACAAACGATCACAGTTTCAAATCGCTATTATTGGTTTGTATTACAAGCGGGTATGCACCCTAAATGAAACACCGAGAACAAGTAGGGTTGGTCTAAGTTAACGCTCATCACGTACCGCACGTGCATTTGTTTCACTGTTCCAACTACTGCGCTTACTCCCTTGAAATACAAACCAATAATAGCGATTTGAATCTATGATCGTCTGTTAAACAACTTTTATCCTAAGTTGAATAACATTCTGAGATTTAAATGTTCAGTTGTCAAGGTAAAATCATGAGGATTAGCAATCTTAATTTCACTTTATTCGATTTACATTTTTGTTTACACTGAAGTTCATCGGTACGTTTTTACAACAAACAGCCTATACATGTAATGGCTTTGACGGCCGAGTTGTTCTATTTTGAATATGATGTTACTATAGAAACCTGGGGAAACCATTCCGTCTCTTCTACCAGCAGTTCTAGTAGTACCTACCCTGAACACATTCCTGACATCCAGCTTGAATTCCTTCTCATAACCCTTGATGTCCCCCTTGTACACCACCGTGGACGGCCCCTTCCTCTCCGCGGGCAGCTTGAACATGCGGTACGTGATCGACACAAATCGGGCGTCACCTAAAAAACCAACTCATTTTAAGGATGTTTTCCGCTACGCTTCAGTGCATCGCCATTTAATTTCACGATAATAATCGTATCAAGATGTCATATTTATTCATACAGTTCGACGCATGATACAGGAGACAGGTTTATTTATGCCATAAAAAGGTATTCACTTTGCCTGTATGAGCGTACGTATTTTAGATATTGCTAGATTAACTGATTTAAGCTCACGTAGGAACTTATATTTCCGATCAGAATACTCCCAGGCATCATGTGCTGAGGGGCGGGGGGATAGCCAAGTGGTTACGTCCTCGTTACGTCGAAGATCTGGGTTCAATTCCTAACATGGGTACAATGTATGCTGCCCATTTCTGGTGTCCCCCGACGTGATATTGCTGGGATCTTTTTAAAAGCAGCGTAAATTAAACTCACCCACTCACTCATCATGCGCTGGTCCTAAGAGGTGGTCAAGTGGATAGGATGACGAGTTTTGGCAATTTGGTTCATCATGCCCATATACTACGCTGGTTAATTATGGATGAATGGGTAATATATATAAGGTTTTAACCCGAAATATTCCATCCAGCAAGATCACGCCTTGGGACACCAGAAACAGGTTTCACAAATTCTAGAAATGCAGAGAATCGAGCCCGAATCGCACCAACGTGTAAGCGCTTTAACCTCTAGGCTACCTTATATGGAGGTTTTGGTACGTGTATCAGCCATGAACATCCCCAGTAGCTCACCGACAAGTGTCTTGTATTCCTCGTTGTTGATGGCGACCGTCGTTATCTCCACAACACGAGGGACGCAGAATCCCACCTCTTTGGCGATGTCGTGTAGTCTTTTCCAGTACAGAGACCCGGCGATACACATACCTGGGGGACAGCGAGGATATGTTTAACAGTATGCTCACATTAGCGAGTACAATCCACTTATTTACTACGGCTTGATTTTGTACAAGGAGTATTTATATTTTTCAACTGAAAATGATAAATAAATGACTTATTAATACTGTATTTGCATATTTTAATATCGTTCTGTCGATATTGATATAATACAGTTTTGTACTATTCATTATTCAGTCCTGATGAACATGTAATACTCAGAAAAATATTAAGTTGCATATTGTTTAGTAATCTACAGCCTCAGACTTGTAGAGATGTGTCAGGTTACAGGCGACAAGATGGGAGACAACTCTGCACGGACTGTTTCCGTGTTTGTAAAATCTTAAGCGCGATGCTACAAATGATCCTCTCTACATGGAGTGAGATAGTGAAATGCCTTACTCCACAGGTATTCATTCTTCCTGACCTCTTCAGGGAGCTCCTTGCTGCAGTACACGTCACTGAAGTACAGCTCTCCACCTTCCTGAACAGAGTGAGTGAGGTTATGGTTTACCGCTGCTTTGAACACGTCTACATTTTTACGGGGCGGTAGGGTAGTCTAGTGGTTTACGTACGCTCGTCACGCCCAAAACCCGGGTTCGATTCCCAACATGGGTAATATATGTGAAGCTCATTTCTGGTTTTTGCCCGCCCTTATTTTGCTAGGATATAGCTAACAGCAACGTAAACACTTTCTCACCCACTCAATCAACATTTAGACAGCAAGTATGATAACTCAACGAGAACGAGTTTTGTGCTAACGAACCAAGAATCGTAATCCGGCAAAGTCTGGAAGTCGAACCTCGACAAGCGGGCCCCAGTAGACGTCCCACGAACGCAACAGATAGAGATAAATATCGTGGATATGTTGCAGTTAAGTGTTGGAAGTTCTTTGAATACTGAGTGAGTGAGTTTAGTTTTACGCCGCTTTTAGCAAAATTCCAGTAATATCACGGTGGGGACACCAGAAACGTTATCTGTCAGTGGTGGAGAGAGGCATGTACATCGTGGTTACTCACTATACGAGTTGTAATTTTCATCAACCATGGTTTATAGTGCTATTTGATTTGATCCCGCGATATAACAAGGGAGGCAACTCTACTGGACATATGGTCGAAGATCAGTCATCCCTTCCCGCTGAACGAAAGTGAATGAGTGAGTGGGTGGGTGTGTGAGTGAGTGAGTGAGTGAGTATTCCAGCAATATTACGGCGTTGGACATCATAAATAGGCTCACACATCGTACCCATGTGGTGAATCGAACCTTGGTCTTCGGCGTGACGAGTGAACGCTTTAACCATCAGGCTACCGCACCGCCCCGAACAGTGACCATGTGGTGACCAGGGTATTATGATAACGCACCTTTAGCACCCGATAGGCTTCCTGCAGTACAGCCTTCTTGTCCGATGTCAGGTTGATCACGCCATTAGATCTGCGGGGAAGTAGAGAGTGGGTGAGAGAATTTTATTTTACACCGATATGACCAGTTGTGACGAGGAAAGTCCGAAGTGATGCAGATCTTAAACAACTACAGCCTTGGTGAAACCCACGACCATGATACTGACAACACCAAGAAACATGATGAAGGCGGGCCGAGATTCGAACCCACGATGGTTTCTGGCACCACTGTGGGGCGCAGCTTGGCGACTGGTCGCGCCTTTGATATCTGGGCAACGACAGAGTAAAGGATAGAAATAGTTGGTTGGTTGTTGTTTAACGCCGCACTCAGCAATATTCCAGCTACATAACGGCGGTCTGTAAATAATCGAGTGTACCCATGTGGGGAATCGAACCCGGGTCTTCGGCGTGACGAGCGAACGCTTTAACCACTAGGCAACCCCACCGCCCCTCACTCGCCAGTTGTACTCACACAAGGATATTGAAGCTATTGTCCCCAATTCCTTTCTCTGCCAGCTTCTCAATGTAGCCCACGAAGAACTCAAGGTTAGGTTTACTGTAGCCGAATCTCTCTGTGCTGTACCCAACGTGCTTGTTAGCAACTTCGATCTGTGGACAAACACTACACCAATAAAACTGTCAAAATATAAATTACAATCTGTAATTTCAAGACTCTCCCTTTTCAGGGTGAAACGGGAGCCTAGCAACGTCATTCATTTGATTTATGACGACGATTTCTCCTTCTGAAACGTTGAGTCCTTTACACTCGAACCTGTATAAACCAGACATCGATCATACCGAAACGTCAGGGGCTTTGGGAGGAAATCAATTAATGTACTCTTAATACCCAATGATCATATCATACCTTAACTGCAGAAGAAAAGATTGTATACACTATAAACCAAAACTATACTAGTTCACTTTGAGTTAGACTAACAACTAGTCTCTGAAATGAACATATTTTTCTGAAAAAAGTTCATAGTAAAAAAAAAAAAAAATAATGAAAAGGAGCCCTGAGACTTTCTTCATTTGAAACTGAGGAAATCTAGACTTGCCACATTTTCTAGACTTGTGTGGGCTTTCTTGGATATATTTGCTTCAGGGTCTGTACGAGAGACTAACTTTGAGTCGAACCTAATCTTTACTAGTTCCTTAAAGTCATAACAGAGCTATATTCTGACAGACAGACAGACAGTTTTATTCTCTATAATGCGCCAGTCAAAACACACACAAAAGTATAATCAATCACGCATGCGCATTTGATTTCGTATTTCTTTTCATATTTACGTGGCATAGTCAAAGGCATACGTGTTTGATTACCTTGCAGGAGAAAAATAGAAATATTAAATTTAGGATGTATTCGGTGTACAGCTGGATCTCGCACCATTAAAACAGGCGCATATGCAGTAGGAAATACATGCTTCGCCAGCATTGGTGTATATTTCCCAATATTTCTTAACTTTGGCCGTTTATGCCATTTGAAGCTACATCTTTGAAACGTATGCTCATTGTATATGCTTTTTCCGGATTTGTTGACCTTTCACATGAATCCATCAGTTGAATTACCTATACATTCCTTTTTTGTGACAGTTAATGAAATTTCCAAAGTTTACTATGTTGGAAGAAGGGACATTTACTTTGGCGGGAACCATCTGTTGTTTTGTTAATTTTTAAATGTTTTCATGTCTAAGAAAGTAATGTGTCATTCCGTATGTCAAGTGTTACAGTTGAGTAGATCGATACTAACAAACCAAGGATCGTAATCAGGCAAAGTCTGGAAGACGAACCTCGACAAGCGGGCCCCTGTAGACAGTTGATCACTGGATTGTCTGGTCCAGACTCGATTATTTACAGACCACCGCCATATAGCTGTAATATTGCTGAGTGCGGCGTTAAACAACAAACAAACTAAACATTTCAAAGAGTGAAAATTCACTTAAACTTCGATGTTGTCTCCTTTGTGAAGATAAATAGTGATGTTAGCATCGCTGGGACAGATCTGCTTGGAATACTTCCCATCAGCAGTTTGTCTGATTTTGAGATTAATTTAAAAAGAAATTAAAACCATTGGAACTATTTGAGTAACGCGCCTCTACAGTTCATGTTTTTAATGTAATATGTCAAATCCGAATCCCAAGAGTTATACAAATGTATTTCATTCATGTTGCCCTTGCATCACTTCACAAATACTTCACAAATACTTCACAAATTGTAAAATTGTAAACAGTTAGTTACCTCTTGCTTGCGGAATGTAATCGTTCTATCAAACATTCTATCAAATGATTAATTGCCTTTGAGTGTATTTACAAATTGTAAAGTCAATTTCCCCAAATCAAACCTCACTGTTCCAACTTGAACAACCAACCTCTAATCAGATTTACAAGATATTGATAGATTCAGTTTGCCGTGACCTATACTTGTACTTCAGAACCATAACAAAAAGAGGTGTTGTTTGAACAAATGATATTTCTACATATCCTTTGGCAATTGTTAAGAGAAAATTGAATATTCTTGCGACACTAGTTACTTGTCAACTTTGGTTACGGTGAACTTAGAGGTGAATAAAATGTTCCACATTTTTCTCTGTTTCTATGGCTGTCATCTTAAAACATTTCATACGACCACTATTTCTGAAAATAAAAATCTTAATTTATTCACATTTATTTTCTCCCCAGTATGTTATTGTAAGAATTATAAGAAATGTTCAAGTACTGTTATGCAGTTGTGAACAGGTGCAACAGTAAAACCTTCACCTCCCTCTCTGTCTATTACATAAGTTGTTACTTTTTTAATATGATGAATATTTGTGGATGACAAACACGTCCTTGACTGCTGCCAACATCACACGTCAAACCAAAGCTGTATTATAAGTGATTATTTCAAATGACAACAAACCCAAACTGTTTTACCAATTAACTTAATTTGCGTGAAGCTTAAGCTCTATTTTGTATAATTAATTCAATTTATGTCTAACAAAAAGTCGAACCAATGCTGTGCAATCTGAATTTTTATAGAAACACGATAATTAGCGCAGTAAATAAAGATCAAACCAATTAATGAGTTATGTCGAAAAGCTGTTGATGTTTTACGAAAACGATAAAATTTAATTGAAATGTTGCCTACCAGAGCGTCCGTCATGTCCACGCCGACGATGCTACCCTCTGGGCCGACGAGTTTGCTGACGATGTAGGTGTCCCTCCCCGCACCACAGCCCAGGTCCAACACCTTCTGGCCCTCCAACTTCTCCGGGATGACCATGCCACACCCATAGTACCTGGAACAGGTGGCGTGGACATGCAATTAACTCAAACGCTGGTCTTGGATCCAGTGTGCGAAATAGCCACTGGCCCGCTAGCCCGTGGCGAGTAAAAATCCAGCGTTCGCTCGTCACCTCGATTCCCAACATGCATGGGTACAATGTTTGAAACCCATTTTGAAACCCATTTCTGGTGTCCCCCGCCGTCATATTGCTGGACTATTGCTAAAAGCGGCGTAAAACCAAACTCACTCACTCACCCCATGGGCATGCAAGAGTTAAATTTCTGGTAACGCCCTTATTTTGTCCACACCACTACTGTGCTGATGGGTTTCTTGGAAGTGGTCAAAGTCTAAGGCGTGCTTCTCTGTGGAGTTCCTACTAGAGTAGACATGTCATCTTATAATTGGAATACTGTTCAAGGCGTTAGACTCAAAGCACTCACTCACTCTCTCAACAGTTTTGAGGTTATTTGCTGGAGACTAGTGAGTTATATCGGCCGGGGAAGCGTTAAGATCCGGGAGAGATCAGCAGCTGCAACAAGGGTGCCAATAATTGTGACTGAAGGAAACCTGAATGCTGCGAGGTTTTGCAAATGGCCGCTTTACCGTTATTGCAACAGAACGGCACTGGAGTGATGTTACAACACGATAACACCAGACCACACCTGGCTCAAGGTACACCGGAGTATCGTATTCAGAACAATGTCAGTGTGTTAACCTGGCCCGCAAGATCCCCTCATTTGTCACCCATTGAACATCCCTGGGATAATAAGGAGCACCGATTACAACGTCAGTCTAGTGCCTTGTATGTCAAGGTGTTACATGACCATGCTACTCTGGTGTATAAAGGACATGATCCCCGGTGTCTTACTTTTCCATGTTATCTAGTGCCTTGCATGTCAAGGTGTTATACACCATGCTACTCTGGTGTATAAAGGACATGATCCCTGGTGTCTTACTTGTCCATGCTATCTAGTGCTTTGTATGTCAAGGTGTTACATGACCATGCTACTCTGGTGTATAAAGGACATGATCCCTGGTGTCCTTACTTGTCCATGTTATCTAGTGCCTTGCATGTCAAGGTGTTATACACCATGCTACTCTGGTGTATAAAGGACATGATCCCTGGTGTCCTACTTGTCCATGTTATCTAGTGCCTTGCATGTCAAGGTGTTATACACCATGTTACTCTGGTGTATAAAGGACATGATCCCTGGTGTCCTACTTGTCCATGCTATCTAGTGCCTTGCATGTCAAGGTGTTATAAACCATGCTACTCTGGTGTATAAAGGACATGATCCCTGGTGTCCTACTTGTCCATGCTATCTAGTGCTTTGCATGTCAAGGTGTTATACACCATGCTACTCTGGTGTATAAAGGACATGATCCCTGGTGTCTTACTTGTCCATGTTATCTAGTGCCTTGCATGTCAAGGTGTTATACACCATGTTACTCTGGTGTATAAAGGACATGATCCCTGGTGTCCTACTTGTCCATGTTATCTAGTGCCTTGCATGTCAAGGTGTTATATGACCATGTTACTCTGGTGTATAAAGGACATGATCCCTGGTGTTCTACTTGTCCATGTTATCTAGTGCCTTGCATGTCAAGGTGTTATATGACCATGCTACTCTGGTGTATAAAGGACATGATCCCTGGTGTCTTACTTGTCCATGTTATCTAGTGCCTTGCATGTCAAGGTGTTATATGACCATGTTACTCTGGTGTATAAAGGACATGATCCCTGGTGTCCTACTTGTCCATGTTATCTAGTGCCTTGCATGTCAAGGTGTTATATGACCATGTTACTCTGGTGTATAAAGGACATGATCCCTGGTGTTCTACTTGTCCATGTTATCTAGTGCCTTGCATGTCAAGGTGTAAAATGATCATGTTACTCCGGTGTATTAAGGCGTGATCCCTGGTGTCCTACTTGTCCATGTTATCTAGTGCCTTGCATGTCAAGGTGTTATATGACCATGCTACTCTGGTGTATAAAGGACATGTCCTATTGTCCATGGTGTCCTACTTGTCCATGTTATCTAGTGCCTTGCATGTCAAAGTGTTATATGATCATGTTACTCTGGTGTATAAAGACATGATCCCTGGTGTCCTACTTGTCCATGTTATCTAGCGCCTTGCATGTCAAGGTGTTATATGACCATGCTACTCTGGTGTATAAAGGACATGATCCCTGGTGTCCTACTTGTCCATGTTATCTAGCGCCTTGCATGTCAAGGTGTTATATGACCATGCTACTCTGGTGTATAAAGGACATGATCCCTGGTGTCCTACTTGTCCATGTTATCTAGTGCCTTGCATGTCAAGGTGTTATATGACCATGCTACTCTAGTGTATAAAGGACATGATCCCTGGTGTCCTACTTGTCCATGTTATCTAGTGCCTTGCATGTCAAGGTGTTATATGACCATGTTACTTTGGTGTATAAAGGACATGATCCCTGGTGTCCTACTTGTCCATTCTAACTGCTCTTCTATGTGTCCATGTTGTATTAGTGGTTTACAGGGCATGACCTCCCAGGTGCCGTAAGTTTCTATGGTGTCCTGGTATCCCATGATATTCCCCAAATGTCCTCAATATACCGTTATCGTTATTGCTCTCTATGCCACAATGTGACAGTCATCGCGACTCAGTACGACTACCTGTCACCTTGTGTTTATATTTCACAGCAGTGTCTATCTCACCGGTCAAGGACATCCTGGTGGACGTGAGTCAGCGCCTCTTTGATATCCTCGGCTCTACCGGCCGTGATCGTCTTAAAGCCGCATGATCCCCCGGATGACCAGTTGCTGTAGGCTTTCTTCACGTTATCTTCACAGCAGGAACTCATGGTAGCTACACGATGGGACTGGGAATCTCTGAAAATAATAAATCCCCGATTAATTAATATACGTTATATCCAGATCTTTCTTTTATTGGGGCGGTGGGGTATCATTGTGGTGAAAGTATTTGCTTGTCGCGCCAAGGACCCGGGCTCGATTCCTCACATGGGTACAAAGTCCATTTCTGGTTTCCTCCGCCGTGATATTGCTGGAATACTGCTAAAAGCGGCGTAAAACCATACTCACTCACTCTTTCTTTTATTTCTTTAACAAATGATTGATTATGTAAACGTGTTGTAAGTATGTCAGCGTGCATAATGATGGTGATTAGTGTCATTTTACTCGAAATACTCCATACTCTGGCATTTGAATAACTGGTGACATTTCGATTTGGTTGCTGTTTAAGCTTACATGAGGATTGATCGTGTGACATATGGTTCAGCAAGCAGCGTGACAACAACGACCTTAACGTCATGATTTACCACTCCATGTCACGCCTGTATAAAGCACGTGTGATACATGTGGTCTCACCGTAGGCAAGTGAGTTTGTTCCAAATTGCCTCTGTTCACCCAGCAGAAAATGGGTATCCGGTGGGATAAGACATGTGGCTATCACCCTCTAGCGCCGTACAGGCCGCTTGGGTTATCCCGGGTAATAATAATCAGATTGTGCGCTTTGAGCATCCTTGTAAGCTTTGAACAGTAATTTGAAATGGAAAGGCGCGTGATAAATATTCTTTTTTTTATTTTGTTCCGTGTAACAGTCTTATTGTGCAAAAGTTTTGTATGTATAAAGATATTTATTATTTCTCCTCTTTTGAGACAGTTTCACACAAACATGATTAAACTTTAGTGAAATTCATTCACAGTTATTTTTCCCTCTACGGAATCTGTTTCTGGGGATGGTCAAGACTGGGTATCCTTTTGCACTGACGTCCTATATTTACTGAAGACTCGTCTCCACTACTGTGTCTAGCAAATCAACGCATACTGACTAAGACTTACAGTTGGGTGTGGCGGGTGGGTGCTGTGCGGTAGGTGGTGTTCGGTAGTGCTGACTGAGTGAGACAAGAGCGATGTGCCGGTGTGTAGGGATTTAATGGCCGAGAAAAGATAAAGACCCTTATCTCAGAATCTAGACATCTGATTGGTTCACGTGCTCCTGACGAAACACAGCGCACCCCGCCCGGGAGGAAAATTCATTTGTGAGTGGGAGGATAAATCCGTTATATGACAGCACTAATAGAGCAGACTCACACTGTTAGTACAATTAGGTTAGAGTCCATCTGAACTCGTCATTAGCGTGCAAAGGGATTGTTGTGATTAAGTTAGAAATGAAACGGTTGCAAGGATGTGTTCCTCGAAATGAGATGTTGGTGTCCGTAACCTGACAACGTATGCTGCCATCTACCCGGTAGGCGAAGATGCAACCGGGGAGAGGGCTATAAGGCAAATCGAGAGAGAGAGAGAGAGAGAGAGAGAGAGAGAGAGAGAGAGAGAGAGAGAGAGAGAGAGAGAGAGAGAGAGAGAGAGAGAGAGAGAGAGAGAGAGAGAGAGAGAGAGAGAGAGAGAGAGAGAGAGAGAGAGAGAGAGAGAGAGCGTAAACATCGAACTGCGCAACAGGGATACATTGCCTTGTGTCTGTCATTTGATACGACAAGACAGAAACAAAAATAGGCTTAAATCCAAGTGAACTTCACCCACAAACTAAACACAATTACTATTTTGCCTTTGATGGAATTTTGTTCTAAATACTAATTGCTAACTCCTGACTTTAGTTGAGCTATGTAACGCTTTCACCAGCTACTCAACACAGAGATTTGCAAAGGGTGTATTCGGGTGAGCTGACCCAATAAAAACAAGAACAACTGTTTCCTTCTGTTCATGATATTCATGAAGTTTTGAACTTGCAATATTAGTTTTAAAGATGACACTGTCGCAAAGTTCCATAATATTCTTCTAAAGTTGGTTCCAATAGTGTGCTTACTACTCATTTAGTTGACTTCCATATATTTGATATGCGACATGACAGTGACAAGGCACTTCAAACTATTGTGTTACAATTTATGCATTTAACAGAAACAAAATATTACTTCCGTATCGATCTGTAGCTATTAACGGTCAATAACCAATGTTCTTATGCCACATGAACAAAGTTCTCATTTCCTGCATGTTTCCGAATTAAGTTAACATTTAGCGAAAAATGGTGTTCCACAGCGAAATGTCACAGGTCACCAATGTCCGGACAAAGGAACAAAGATGGCCAGCTGCATCACGGTGTAAGAATCGAAACGTTGCGTTGTGCAATAAACCAGAATCTATTTTCTATAAAGTTTATGTTTTCGTGTTTACTCACCACAGTGCCAATCCAACAATGTGCTTCAGGGTCAAGCTAATCAGATACGAGCAGCTTGAGCACAATGCTCTTTTATAGACGTCCGATAGACAGTACCCCTGACGGCTTTTGGCAACATCAAACTGACCATTGGTAGGAGACCATAGCCTTACTACAAGGCCGCACTGAATGAAAATCGGTTCCCATCCTTATAAGGCCACATAAAAATATTCTTGTTTCTCATCGCTTTTTCAAGAAAATAAGGGGAGGGCTGATTTTATTTTTACATTTTATTTATTTTAATACCCAAAACCCCTTGATTTCAGGGGGAATTTACACCTTTTTCTCCTACAGAAAATCAAAACATGGAAGTGTGAAAAATTCATGCACATTTTGAGAGTAAAAGTTGAAATTTAAAATATAATTTTTTTTTTAGGTCTGGCGGTAATAAGAAACAAGAATATTGTTGTATATGGCCTAAGAGACAGTTAAGATAAAAATGTATAGACGCCGATCTTGTACAAGGACAACTTGTTTTTATTAATTATACAAATTTATAAACCAGTGATTATTATTATAGTCTTTAGAGACTTTTGCAAGTCTACAGCGCCTGCAGCTGTTATTCGATGTCGATTGAATATGACCTACATTTTCCGGCGGTGTTCATTTATGTCACAGTGTGCTTTGCCAGCGTTGTCAGGGTGAGGTCAGACGGGGAGCGGAATGTGGGGGAAGGAGGTTTGTGGCGGGGTCACCGGATGCCAGGTGTCAAGGCCTGTCAAATGAATTACCGGTTCGTTTCAAGGGTAACAACACAGTAAACTTCTGGTAAACTGATGATGTAACGAGCTCTTAATGTATATTGTACTCGAAATGCATATAACGAACAAAACTTAAAGTGGTTAACTTGAGTTGTCAATATCAGCAGTTTGTTGTAGCAGGGCAGACTAACAACTAGTCTCTGAAATGAACATATTTTACTGAAAAAGGTTCATAGTTAAAAAATGAAATTAAATGAAAAGGAGTCCTGAGACTTTCTCATCTAGGAAATCTAGACTTGCCACATTTTCTAGACTTGCGTTGGCTTTCTTGGATATATTTGCCTCAGGGTCTGTATGACAAACTAGTATAAGGCTAGATTTTTCTCACAAGCATGTTGTTTAAGAAACTAAGTTTCAAAGTGTGACAAGCCAATCAAAAAGAGGTACTTGATTAAACAAACTTGTGAAGTTAAGTCGATTGTAACAATGTGTCATCATAAAATAATCTAGAAAAAGTTATGTCGACATTTCGACGCTAGAAAGTCCACGAATAATAGTGTTACGTGACTTGCAGTTGTTAACACAGATAAGACGGTGCGCAATGAGTGGTTCAAGTACAGACATGTGCGTATCTTTACCGTGCGTTATCGGCTCAAGTGTCACGTGTTTTCTCAATGAGTTTATCTCTAGCTAGTTTAAGATCCATTTTGATACGAACTAAGATACTTCATTATGTTTAGATAGGATGACCACAGACCGTGGTCCACACATGTGGTATTGGCTCAAGTGTCAATGAGTTTATCTCAAGCTTCCCAAGCTTAAGTCAGTTTGAGATCCATTTTGATACGAACTAAGAGGTTGTCTGATCCCTCATACTTTATTATGCATATATATACAGGATGACAGTAGAGAGTGCTCCACGTTTTCATTAAAGGTCACATGCAACGTAAAACACAACTTTGCAGATTCTGATACCTTTCGGTATGGACTTACAGTAACAAATGATGAAAAATGCAAATTCAACTTATAAAGTTGAAAAATAACGCAATGAAAAAAACCTCGCGAAATCGAAGTTCAAACGATTCACTAAATTCAACAGCTGTGCTGCGTTGCGCTCATAGCGCATGCGCAGTGAATAGGAGCGCAGCGTGAAGCAGTATGTCCGAATTATACGGTCGTGAGCAGGAGTAGACTAATCTTGGTTGTGTACACAAACAACAAATAGTAAATAATCTACTCGTTACATAAAAAACCCTAAGGATCTAGATCTACTCAGCTATGTGTCACCCAGTGAGGCGTTCGACATTAAATTTTCAAGACGGAAACCCTTCTCTGGCGGTGAGTACTCGGAGTAGGATTTGATGTGAGCTATTTTTCTTAAGTTTTGTTGATATTTCACAGACGCGAGCTTTTTATATGGTATGACAGTAGATTACCGATTTAACTGTTTATATAATTTCATTTGACTATTTCACCACACGTTCTTCTTACCGAGTAACTTTCTCATGCAGTTCGACACTTAGAAGCAACGTCATTTATCATTGTCAGAATTTCTAACTGTGATATAGATGTGCCTCTGTCACAGACAAAACTCAGTGTCTGTTTTATTGACGCGTATGTGTCTGCCTGCCTGTCTGCTAATGACAATATGCAATACACAACTTCGATCACTGACCACATGCAATTTGAACTTAAGACCTATCAGGCTATACACCATAAACAAAACGGATTGATTTATGGCTCGTGCACCTAGGTTCTGTCTCATTATGTAATTACACAGACAGGCAGGTGTGATACTTGTACACATGACATGTCATGATGTCTGTTGATTGCAAAATGTTATACACAAAAAAATGAGCATGGATTTACAAAACCCAACATCTCTCTACACACACAAAGAGCCCTGAGTGTATGGGCCAATGAACCAGCCAATGAAAGACTTCGTTACGCCCACCCGCTCTGACTGGGTTCGGTATGCGGGTGCTTCGTTTCGAGGGAAGTTAACCCAAGTACAATATATTGCACTTTTGATTTGCGATTGTACGGTTATAATTTTGTTTATTTGTTGTTTTTTATAATCAGCAATGTATATTATTTGTCATGAATAAATGATAATTATGTTTTAATTATGTATATTTTTTGGGTTGCATCTAAGCTTTAAACAGATGTTTGTTCAATCTTATTTGTTAATGAATTACATACACAAAGACAAATGAGAACATAATGCCGAACATTCAACAGTATATTTTACTTTTATACGACTATCGGAATAAAACAATATTTACTGCCAGAATTGGTTTCATGAAAAATATGAATATCACACTATTAAACGTTTAACAAAAGCAACGGGATGCTGTAATCTGATACTCTGTTGACAATGTGTACATAGAACACGATCAGTAATTTGAAGGAGGTCCAGAGTGTGTGAGTGAGTGTTGTTTTACGAGCTAAAGTTCGTTAAGCAAAAACATATCATGTGTTTAGAATCAAGATTTCAATCCTGTGTTTTGGATCAAACAATCCCGTGCTCTTGTTGTTGATCTGACACGCACATTTGTGGAACATATGCACAATAAATATTGTATCTTGTATGTATCACGATCCCAACACTTTATTCCAGGAGTATATATATGTCCTTCCAAACTGAATACAACCGTTCTGTAGTCGCTGTATGACTGAAACAATGCCAATGCCCACCCACCCTGTGTCTGCCTATGAATGCGACGTAAAACTTCAACTCAACGAACGTTCTCATCATCACAGCATATCCTTTGTGTACCAACAGGTCAGTGTGGTTCTCCAAACTAAACCCATCTCGTATAAAGCAACACAGTAAACTACGGTAACTCACAGGGGACACCATATATAGTTCGTTATAACCGCAGTTCGGCATACGCATTTCGACTGAAACATACAGCAACAGGTCGGGAGTGAAAACACAGTCCGCAATATCTGTCCGCTACAAGGCTAATTCGGTGAGGGTTATTGCGTATCGGTGTCAACGAAATACGAAGTACTCCACTGTCTAGACATGCATGTTTAAATGTAGGTCAAACGGTAAGTTGTTAACTGCGCAGCATAAATTTTGTAATAAAACGTTTCCAGAAGAACAGATATTTCTGAACATGTACAAGAAAATACAAGCCTACCTTTCTCTTTCAGCTGTGTGCACAACAGAGCTATGTATGTCAACGTACTCGCGCAATCGGAGCAGGGGCATGTGTTTCATAGACTTGCCGAGCTATTTAGTTATTTAGTTCATTCTTAACTGAGTTAATACAGGAATTGTATAGTTTATTGAAATAGACGTGTACGTTTTGAATAATGATATGTTGGAACATATCCGAGAACACTCTTCTACTGAATCACAATCCAGTATTTACTGAGGTCAGGGTAGAATTTCTTATATAAATCCAGAGGGGCAGTGTCAAAGTCCAATTACATATACTCTCGTAGTAACACATACTTCGGGGAGCAATGCTGTTATCTTGCGCTTTGAGCTTGCACCTTGTGGGTGGATACAGCGCTTTGAGCATGCACCTTGTGGGTGGATACAGCGCTTTGAGCATGCACCTTGTGGGTGGATACAGCGCTTTGAGCATGCACCTTGTGGGTGGATACAGCGCTTTGAGCATGCACCTTGTGGGTGGATACAGCGCTTTGAGCATGCACCTTGTGGGTGGATACAGCGCTTTGAGCATTCACCTTGTGGGTGGATACAGCGCTTTGAGCATGCACCTTGTGGGTGGATACAGCGCTTTGAGCATGCACCTTGTGGGTGGATACAGCGCTTTGAGCATGCACCTTGTGGGTGGATACAGCGCTTTGAGCATGCACCTTGTGGGTGGATACAGCGCTTTGAGCATGCACCTTGTGGGTGGATACAGCGCTTTGAGCATGCACCTTGTGGGTGGATAGAGCGCTTTGAGCATTTGAGCATGCACCTTGTGGGTGGATACAGCGCTTTGAGCATTCACCTTGTGGGTGGATACAGCGCTTTGAGCATGCACCTTGTGGGTGGATACAGCGCTTTGAGCATTCACCTTGTGGGTGGATACAGCGCTTTGAGCATTCACCTTGTGGGTGGAAACAGCGCTTTGAGCATTCACCTTGTGGGTGGATACAGCGCTTTGAGCATGCACCTTGTGGGTGGATACAGCGCTTTATAAATACTCATTATTATTATCATTATTATCAAGACTGATAAAAGCGTCATGAGCACTCAATGCATGTGTAACCCTATTGCTTTTCTGTTGGAATAGTCGCGAAGACTGTAGCGAGTCTGTCGTCACCATATCTGTCTGGGCACAGCCGCGTTCAACTCGCAAAGAGCATGCTATTTGGGACACGGGAGCGGAGAGTGTGGCGTA